AAGTAGCATCATTCTTCTGAAGTAACTGCTTCTTTTTTAAGATTGATATTGCTATGTCAGACTTAAAATACCATATCATATGTTAGGAATGTAATCTATTTCAGACCTTATATATGACAGATGCTTTTGGTGTCAGGCTCCTTTCTTCACTCTGGGAGGATACTGTGAGAACTGATATGGCATTGTCAGTGTTCACAATCAACCCATAGTGTCAATGCATATATGACGTAGTGACATTTGCTAATGAGACACTACCTGTCACCCAAGGCATGCATTCACAATAAAATGTAGTGCAGGATATTAAGATTTTATCATCAGTTGTCATTTATCATCACAGATTCAGCTTTCCAAGCTTGATTTCCTTTCCTATTTTATTTTGGCCTATACAAGCTATATAGTTCTTTTGTTTTTTTTTCCTAGTCAGCCCATTCCTCTTTATGTCATTAGGACAGGCCTTAGCTTTGTTGGAAATCAATTATTTACTGGTGCTAAGAGGATAGTTTTACATATTTACCTTGAAAGTAATTCACACACCAGATTTCCTTGTTCTTCCTTATGCTTTTTTTGATTGTTTTATTTGTAATTGTGTAGATCTTATTTCTCTAATCTCAGCCTCTGATTTCCTATTTCTGATAATACATTGGATTCAAAGTAACACTGTTCCTATGAATTCATCTACTACCTCTGAATCTGTTAGATCTTTTTCTGCCTTGTTTTCTACATAGACTTTTGATGCTTTTTGGGTGGGAGAGATGAAGTCACATAATATCAAAAGTAGTACTCCCAAGCCTGCAAAGAATTTAGAAAGACCCTATGTGTACATTCTTCCTTTATTACCCAAATAGTGCATGATGGAACACCTCTGATTAGTGACATTTGATGCCCGGTTCCAATTGGTACATATAAGGGAGCCCACTGAGTTTTGCTAGTGAGATATGAGCTTAGTTTATCAGCAAGGCCTCATAAGAGGTGATTAGATCATGGGCATGGTTACTAGGTGTTTTGAAAGGTCTACACTTGATTTTAACAATTTGAGTATGTGGTAAAATGATCAATTTTACCAAGATTTTATAGTGCTGTAATCTGCAATTTGCAAATTAACAGAGCCGGTTTGGTGGTGGTGAGTACAAATAGTAGATATATTAATGGCATAGTAAGCATTCAATCGAGTTTAAAATTGCCAAGAATCATTAATAGACTTTATTTTTAAGAAGAAGAAGAAGAAGAAAAGAGAAGAAGAAGAAGAAGAAGAAGAAGAAGAAGAAGAAGAAGAAGAAGAAGAAGAAGAAGAAGAAGAAGAAGAAGACAGACGACAAAGACGAAGACTGAGGAGGAGGAGGAGGAAGAGGAGGAGGAGGAGGAGGAGAGAGAATATAACTTTTCAATATTCCAGTATTTCGAAGTGCCGGACATTCCTCAGTGTAGCTCTTGTACCATGTATGTCAGATTACAAAAGAAAAGTGGAGGAACTGGGTTGATTCTAAAGTTTTCAACCAGGAGTCAAACAACCAAGTTTAGAAGTTATGGGAGACAAGGGATATCATCAGAGATAGGAAATTTAAAGAGTTATGTGTTTCATAATCACAAATTGTGTGTGTTCTCTGAGGAATATCCCTCAAGTTACTTTATTTGTATATGTTTATAGGCTAAATCACAATGTACATGGATATATCAGGAAGCTAACTGCTCTGAATTATGAAGACCTTGGAAATATTATTAGAATATACAAATGAAAATATGACATTTTGCTTTCCTATCCAATTCTAGGACACAAGGCATAGTGAGTGGATAGTTACAGTAAAATACCTGAGTGTTTTTGCCGTTTCCTTAACGTTTTCAGCAAAATCCATAACTGTTGTAAAAATAGTAAATGGACATTTAGTTAAAAAAAACAGAAGCTGATATTGTGGTAAATTCTGATAGGAGAAACAAAGTAATAAGCCACTGCCATGTCTAACTTTGCCAACTCCATGAATTTTTTGAAGGCATGTTTCTTATTCCCTAGCCCAAAGCTATCCAGGCAAATAGCCTCTAGTTCAAGTCTCTTCAGGGTGTATACACCTTTGTCATCCCAGCCACCAATTCTTTCCTAGTGCTGGAATTAATGGCATAAGTGCTTCTCAAATACTGGGATTAAAGGTGTGAGATCTCTAGTACAGGAGTTAAAGGCAAATGACTACTGAGTATTAGACTTAAAAGTGTATTCCAACAATGCCTGTCTTTGTTTCTATCCTAGACTGAGTCAATCCCATGTAGTTCAAGGAGGCTTTGAGGCCCTGAGATACCAAGAGATCTCTGCTTCCCCAGTGATAGGATTACAGGTGTGTCCCACCACTTCCTGTCCTCTATGTTTATTCTAGAGGCTTGTTCTCTGCTCTGTTTTTCAGGCACATTAATTGTGGTACACACTATACCACCATGCGAACCTGGGATTCACACTATATTTACCTCACATTGATGTGCACCTCATCATACCACTGAAATGTGATGGCTATTTAAGCATATCTCTACTCTTGAAATTGTATCAGCTCCATATAAATACATAATTCTTTCACTATGAAAACCAGCGACCATTCTAATGTATCCTGTGGAAGAATGGTGAAGTGACAGATGTATGAGTGGCTTATATTATTTACTAAGTTGACAAAAGTGGAAAGTTTTTTTTTTTCTCAATTATTCTCGCCCTGAGATGATGTCCATGAGCTAGTAGTTGTTCTCATATCCATGCAAACTCAGGTGCTTTACATGAACAAAGAAAACAAGAAATAGAGCAAATACATGAAAAAAACAATGAGTAGTTCTTGAGGACTATTTATAATGAGGTGAATGTAGCAAATTTGTTCAAAATTTCAATAATCACATTTTACTGCACAGGAAATTGTATGAGTATGAATTGCAATTGTGAAACTGAAAGTAATAAAAAATGCATGCAAACGTGTAGAACCAACCAAAAATCGAACAGACAAATGTGCAATTGCTGAAGGTATATATACATCATGAGTATTAGTTTCTGAAAGGAATATATCAGATTATTTCATATAATAACACTTTAAGCTTTAAGCTATTATATGCAAACTGGGGATTTTCAGAGCAGGGCTTCAAAGTCAACTCTCTATTTTCAATACAAGCATTCCATTTCAGGCATGTATGTAAAACCACACATATGCATGAATGTGTGTGTGTATATATATACTGTTCTTGTAAAAACTGAATTTCAAGCATTTCATCATTTCTGTTGGGGAAGCTAACATGTCATATCAGACACTGTCAGCAACAAGCAGCAACAGACTCCAGAGAATAATAATCCTCCATCTCTAGGCAGAAATGGAGGCTTTTGTGTAGATAGGCAGGATGTAGACACAAGCAGAGGGATAAACGATCACCAACTACTTGCCACACTTTTTTTCCTTTTAATAATTGGAGTGAGAACTCAGCATCAATTTCGTTCTTTCCCTCTTATCCACTTTCAGTCACTGCTTCTGCTGCTACATGTATTCATTCAGAAGATGACAAGAATGATTCACCAGCACCTGTGTTCATCTACAAGGTAACCTCAGGATATGCCTCCATTGCTGAAATTGAGATTACTGTCCTTATTGGTTCTTATTCTCCGATGTATTTGAATGTACACTGTCCTTCAATCAGATGCAAGGAGTGCTTATAAAAGAGACAGCATTGTGAGCTCTTACCAGTCAGGCTCTGGTCATATTCCAGGACACAGTGGGTACTGGGTGTGGCTAAAGCCCGACTATACATTGGATAGGCAAGGCATACTGCTCCTGACATGTACAGGAGTCAGAGCCTGTGGAAATCCCAGCAAAAGCAGGGATTGTTTGATTCCTAGGATTATAAGTACTAGTCACCTGCTCTGTCTCCTGTGCAGGACGTAGCATCCTGCTTGTGAAGCAACTGCTTCTCTGTTAAGATTTGATATTGCTGTGTCAGACTTAAAATGCTGTATCATCTGTTAGGAACGTTGTCCATTGCATACGTTAGTATATGACAGATACTGGCAGAGTCAGGTTCTTTTCTTCAACCTGTAAAGGTACTGTGGGAACTATTACGGCATAGTGAGTGTTCACTACCAACCCCTAGATTTTAGATATATAATATTTAGTGACATCTGTTGAAGAAATCTTAACTATCATAAAAAGGCATGCTTTCACAATTAAATGTAGTACAAGTAATTGTTTTGATCACCCTGTTGCAATATATCATCACAGATTAATCTCTCCCAGCTTGATTTGAAGTCTCCTTGTATTTTGCCATTTAAAAGCCCTAGCCCACTCCTCTTATTTTCATGAGGCCAGACATGAGATTTGTTGCAAATCAATTATTTACTGGTGCTGAGTGGATGGTATTTTATATTTACATTCTAAATAATTCATACTCTAGTTTTTTTGTTTCTTGGTTATAATTTGTTTGTTTGTTTCCTTTTTTTGGTTTGTTCTATAAGTGTGCAGATCTTGTCTGTGTAACCTCCACCTATGAACTCCTCTGTCTTATAATACGTTGGAATTTAGATAACACTGTTCCTACGGATTCATCTACCACCTCTGAATCTGTTATATTTTTT